GCCCGCAGAGCCGAATGGTATTATGCGCGGTGAAGACTTTATAATGGGACGTAGAACTCCTTAAAACTCGCGGATACGCGCCTCCGAAAATGCCGGGCGGCTCCGTTACGACGCGGAAGCGAACCCATAACTGAAAACTTATGCTGCCGCGATTGCGTTACGAGGTCGTTTTGCTCGATGGGCTGTTTCATTTTTAGAATTGCGCGCCGAGTGACCTGCAATCGGTCGTGTCATGCCATTACATCCGCTGTTCGCTATAAAAAAAAACTGTCGTTCGGTCTAATAAAATGCATTGCAATTAATTGTTCGGTCAAAGCTTATGGCAACCCAAATCACGAAATCGCTTTGTTTAATGGATTTTACTGGTTTTGCAATTGAAGAGAGATGATGATGAATCGTTATTTGTTTAACGTTTCGGGACTTTCCCTGGAGCGTTGAGACATAAATACGGAAATTTAAACATAAAAAAAGAGAGATAGAGAGAACGCGTTTGTATGCACACTATTAAACTCGCGTCAAATGTCAAATTATATATCCACCCTTACAGAAATCTAATACTGACCAATTTATTACTGAAAGAAAGAGGGAGTGAGAGAGAGAGAGAGAGAGAGAGAGAGAGAGAGAGAGAGAGAGAGAGAGTAATTAATTTCTATTTTTGAAATACTAAAACAACAGTGCTTCTAATACTTAAAATAAATAATTAATTATTATCTTACAGTATTGGCTAGTATTTGATTTCTATAAGGGCAATTTGAATTATTTTTAATAATTTCTATAGATCGCCATTGCTTCTATTTAATATATTGTTAATTTAATTAAAACAATAGAATTAAATAATTTAACTCAAATATATTAAATTTGACTCAATTTTTGTTTATTATTTACTAAGTGCATACGTCAGTATAGATATTGTTTACTTTAAAACCAACCACAGAACTGGCTTGGTTTATATTTTGATACATGGAAATTAAAGATAACAAAATATTATTTAACTTAAGGGATTGAGTTACCATTGTGTGTGTGCGTGCGTGCGTGCGTACGTGCGTTCTTTTGATATCTAACAGTATATTGGAATTACATTGGGCACGTAATGCTATTAATTTTTTTTCAGTTGAAAATCATACTTTCGGGTTAATAAACTCTACACCATAACAAAGTATGCGATGCAATTCAAAGATAACACTAAGAGACTCAGTTGAGTTTAATTAATTTTTCTGGGAACGGCCCAGAAGTTGTTTTAATTCGTACTCCACGCTATTCATCGGCGAAGATGCTATCAAAAATAATATCCACCTTTAATGCGTTTGGGCCGGAAGGGGTTAACAATCTCGGCTCGCTTCCGGTGCGTGCTCGGGCGAATTAATCCGACGTCGCGCGAGTAGCCGCGACTCGTCATCTCAATCCTCAAACCACCGCGCCGCTGCCACCAGCACCACTACAGTCCAGCACCAACACCATCGTCAGCGTCCACATCCAGAGTCGCATTAATCACGTCGAAGCCAGACGGGGGTGGCGGCGACGCAAGAGGGGCTAAGGGCGGTGCGAGACTAGGAACGAAAGGGAGAACGGAACCCCTTAAAATAATCTGGCCCGAAATGAAATCAGCCAAGGCAATTTCCAACCCCCTCTCTCCCTTCTCGTATCCGATGTTAACAGCGGTGGCGGTTTTATCCGGCGGCCTCATCCTTTCCCTTTCTACTCCCCTTGCCCATCCCCCGATTCCGTCGCAGTGCCACCGACAAATGACGACGCGGCGGCAACCCCCTCGCGGCGACTCACGGAATTAAAGATCACGAGATAAGAGTGTCATCCTTCGCTATGCATTATGTGTTCGGCAAAAAGCTCGCCCCCGGGCCATCCCATCGTTCCGCCGCCCTTGTCCCTCTGCACTTCTCTCTTTCTGCTTTCATCTCTCTTTCGTTGTTTGTCTCCTTCTAACACGTGTTTGTTTCGGGTGAGAGAGAGAGAGAGAGAGAGAGAGAGAGAGAGAAAGGGAGAGTAAAAAAAGTGGAAAGATGGAAGGTTCCAATTAATCTACTTGGTCCACTTTTCCCTGTTCAAGGCATCTCCGCTGGCGTTCCTCTCGTATCGACATTCTTCTGCTAAAGACGCTCGCCGTTTCGAGTACAATGTAGATAATGAAGAGGAACGTCAAGTGTCTCACGAGTTTATGGAGATTTTCTCGGAAACGATTGCAACGGGATGTACGCGAGGATGCATTTCGGTTATGATCCACACATGCTCTCACAGTGCAGGTGAATGAGATTCTGGCTGCAACCGGGAGTCATATTTCAAGTTTTATCGTCTTGAAAACATTAAACGGCTAACACTGAATTTGAAGACTAACTTCTAAGGCGAATTCATCGAATCCAAGTTCGAAGGCGCATTGTCGAAGTAACGTGATACTTGCAAAACTGTCTTGGGGACATTATTAGATGTAAACAGTAAAATACGAAATATAGAAGAAACGTATACACTCAGAGAAAAACAGTGCTAGCAACTATATCGATAACAACTATACTATAGTTTTATATTATATAGAATTAATTATAATAAGTGAGTCAGTAACTAATCTTAATTTTGCCCTTAAAAATCAAGATGGTGTATATTTAGGTTACTTGTCACTAACCCACGTACGTATGTGCGTGCGTGCGTGCGTGCGTGCGTGTGTGTAGTTGAATAAAATATTTTAATAATTATAAAATAGTTTATTCTAGATATAAAACTTGTATAGTTACTACCATTATGTTTTTTTCTGAGTATAATATAAAAGTAAAAAGTATTTCGCCAATACGATATTATAGAAGTTTATTGATCTTTACAAAAGAAAACCACTATGTAGTGCTGAAAGAATGTCATATTTTTGAGGCAAGGAATAAAATGAAACAATTAATTATTACAAATCTTACTTAAGGAAAACTTACAAAATTAAAAAAGGCAAATCCCCATCTTTTAAAGGTTAAACTGTATTTAAGTTGCAATTAACGGTCCTTCGGAGATCAAGGTTTCAAAATAAGTAAATTTATGATTAAGATTCATCTCTTTTCATCAACGCAAACAGAACTTTTGTAATAAAATGTCTACTTATCTCGAATCTACTTGGTCATAATATTTTTCCAATTTAAAAAAAATTCTAAAAAGAATTAACGATTTCATTTGAAATGAACGTTCAAGAGTGGATCGAGATAGGAAGTGAGGGAATCGCTTAATATCATCGGCGAAAATCGAGTTTCAGGGGCCGTGTTCTGAAATATCCTAAAACAATCACACGGTTTGGTCGTTAGTACGTAAGAGCCGTACACAGACAGAGAGAGCCTCTACGGCCTTTGATTTGGGCGCGGGAGTCGACGCCGTAGGGCCGCGCGTTATATATAGGGTGTACCGAAGGAAATAACCGTCATCTGTATTCGCGATAACATCGTAATTGAATGCGGTTGACGGGGATTTGCAGCATACGACGGCCGACCACCGGCGGCCCCCGCAAACGATTCCCTTCCATCGCGCTCTTGCAGTTCTTCTCCAGTCCTCCTCCATCGCACCCTACTCTCTTTCTGCACCCCTCGCCGATGATCCTTCCTCTTTCTCCTCTCTTTTCTTCACCTTATCTTCCTTTCCTTCGTTTTTTACTGATATTTTTTTATTTCTCATGTCCCCTTATTCCTGAAGATGAATTTAGAAGACGTTACACGTTACAGTCTTCAGAATTAGATACTGTACTCGGAAAGAACGATTTGCTGAAATATCTATTTAAAAATTTAGTTAGATACAGCTCTGAAAATAATTTTTTGTTGGAACATTAAAATATTTATGTAGAAAGTTCAAGCATGATAAACAATGCTATAAAATATTTTGATATTCTAGCAATCAATTTGAGCATCCTGCATAATTATTTTGATAGTTAACCAAATTATTTTCAGATTTATTTAGCTAAAATTTTAGATATTTTAGCAAAATCATTCTTTCTATGTACGATTAATGAAATAAACCAATTCTAAGGAAAAAATTGCAAATATACGGTTAAAATTGTTTCATTTTATAGATGATAATTTAAAAAATTTTTGATATAAATTAATGTTCTTCCATGTTCTTCATTTCACAGCTAATCTTCCATCGCGATCTCGTCTGTTCTCCCGTTGTTTACTTTTTCTACCTCGCTTTCTTGGCCGGAGCCTTCCCATTCTCGTTCCACCGTTTTCTCCCCTCCCTCCTTCTCTCGATCACTTTTTATCTTCTGAGAGTGAAGCATTAATCATATCAAGGCGCAGGAAATCTACTTCGATATTTAGGGTGTGTCATAGTGTTGTCACGTGTGTGCACACGCGTGCGGGGGAAGTCGGGGGTGCCAGAGGGGCTGGTAGTGAATAGCGATACGACGATAGCATAGAGAGGAGTAGGTAGCGAAGTTTATGAGGGAAATTTCGGAAGGAGATTCTACGAGAGCTATTTGATCGTCATTTTCTCGTCGCGAAACGCTCGTCTGGCGACCTTTTTCCGAAGAACCGAATAATACGAGGCAAATGTACTTTGTGAGATGGATTTAGGTCGATATGTCTACGGTATTTTAATTGTAATTGTGCCGCGATATATCTCTAAATTCACTTTCTTTGACGTAGATGTATTAAAATTATACAGGGTGTCCCATTTTAATTGTCCACCCCAAATAACTTTCTTATTTTTGATTTTAGAGAAAAATGTTTCAGACAAAAATTGTATGGTTTCGAGAGGGTCACAAGATGATACCATTGGTTTGACCTTGGATAATCATTTGAAAATTACATGAAGGTCACCTTCAATTTCTTAAATGGAACATACCATTTTTCATTACATATTCTCGTAGCTTATCTCGAGAGCTTTCCAAAACACTACAATAAAATATTTTTCTATTGCGTATTTTCCGAGTTATAAAGCTTTAAGTTTGCGGTATTCTTTTTCTAAAAAAAAAGGAGATGTTAAATCGATACTCGAATGTATCGAAGTTTATTGTTGTCGCTTTTCCGCGATGCTGATTGGTTCTCTCGCTGCGTTTACTTCACGAGTATCTGTCATTGCCAAAATTGTGTGTTTTGACAGTTCCGTATTTGAAAACATCCTGCATAAATGTTAAAACTTAAAGCTTTATAACTCGGAAAATACGCAATAGAAAAATATTTTATTGTAGTGTTTTGGAAAGCTCTCGAGATAAGCTACGAGAATATGTAATGAAAAATGGTATGTTCCATTTAAGAAATTGAAGGTGACCTTCATGTAATTTTCAAATGATTATCCAAGGTCAAACCAATGGTACCATCTTGTGACCCCCTCGAAACCATACAATTTTTGTCTGAAACATTTTTCTCTAAAATCAAAAATAAGAAAGTTATTTGGGGTGGATAATTAAAATGGGACACCCTGTATATACATTACGTTTTAATTTTTTACAAAATGATAATACATTATTTCATCATTTTTCAACATAAAGTAAAGCATAATATTTTGTTATTTAAAAAATATAAGATACTATACACAGTCCTAAAGGTATTCCATACTGAAAATCCTTTTTATTATAAGTTTGCACATATCAATATATGCTGAGAGATTGATTGTAACTGTCATGATCGATATAAACATACATAATAAACATGTTCATTAACCTTTTAGTATTTTCAATTTTCACATACGATAGCACTGCACAATGCAATTGAATATTTATCAAATGTTTCATATCATTTCAAATCTCAATCATTGACTGATCTGAGACTTGAAAATAATTTTGTCTCAACGAAAATATCGAAGCCTTTGTCTCCTGTTCCGTAACTCTTAATAATGTCGGTATTGTTATAGTATCAATTTTTACATGTATAAAACTTGCACAACGATAATGTAATGACACCGATACTATTGGAAAGAATTGTAGAATATGGGTCTTTCTTGGAACTCTTTCCAGTAATCAATGATCAGAAATAGAATTTAAAAAAAATAAGAAAGAAAATATGTAGTGAAGTATAATTCTCTTAATTTAATTCTAAGTAGATTTTAATATAATTTTAACTTACTTAATTACAAAGATTATAGTATCAAAATGATTATAAAATTACAATATGAAAAAATGAAAAAGCATGATAAACGAATTGTGATATTTTTGATAAGCAAAGATTATTCTTTACAGAAACGTAATACTGGCTAATTTACTACTGAAAGATAGCAATTAATTACATACTTATGTGAAGTACTAAAAGCATTAAACAACAGTATTTTCAATTAAAACAAGTAATTAATTATTTTCTTTCAGTATTAAATTGACTAATATATATTTCTGTAAGGAATTATTATTAAAAGAATACAATGATGAAAATCATATGAAGGTTTTGGATCGTATTGCACAATATAAATACACGTTTTCGAAGGGCCTTTCTCGGCCCTACAACAGCTTCGACTGTTGGCACTCGGCCCGATTAATCCCACCGCGAGATCGGAAAGAGGATGGGGCTGCGCGTATCGCCGCTAATCAACGTAGAAGAGGTCGTTTTGCGATCCGGGATAGCGATCCTTGCATGCGGAATGCGCTGATGGGAAATACTTGTTACGTCGTGGCTACTGTCACGATCGCTGATTGGCGCATGACCGTTGGATTTCGCGCTTTATTAATGGCCGTCTGTCGTCGTCCTTCTCCCTCATGCTCCCTTATCCCAGACACGGGATCTCCGATCTGGGTTCACGCCTTTCGCCATTTCGGTATCGGCTGTCCTCCGTTTTCCGCAGCGCAACGTCCGACGTCTGCGCCGCCAAATTATTTACGGAATCTCGTTTTTCGCGCCCTGATTTCGTCCATCACAGCCCGTGACGCAGATCGCAGGCGAGATTTTATTTTGGGAGCACATCGTGAAGATCGATCGCGGCTCCGATATACCTTCCCGATTTAACGTTTCTCTTAAGTTTTTCATAGGTAGAGAAAATAATGCAAGAAGCCCCTCCCACGTCCGCTAAATTACCAATATTGGTCAACAATTTTGCAGTGCAGATATCAATATACTGAGATTTGAAATGATGTGAAACATTTGATAATTATCCAATTACATGTACGGTATTATCGTGTAAGGTGAAAATTAATAATACATCAAAGGTTTAATAAACATGTTTATTATATATATGTTTATGTCGATCATGGCAGCGTAGTTAATCCATCGGACATATGTGCAGACTTAGATAGAACACAATAGGATATACGATGTAGAATAATGTGGAAATAATTGCTGCGCACGCGAGAGAGACTGATTGAACGATGTACATATTAAATTGTTGCATACTATTTCCTGATAATCAATGCAACGATGCGTTTCTATGTCCGATATAATAGCATCGTTATATCGCGGTTACATAAATCAGTGATGAAGTCCGAATTGTACATGCTCGATGCTTGTAATATTCCGTTTGCCGGATTTCCGCAAGCGCGCGCGCTGGTAGAAAATTATAATTATGCGAGCTTCGATTGCGTAAGCCTATAAATGTATATTGTAATTGTCCAACATTTTCGTCATACCATTTATTGGTTATGTTACACAAGCCGTCTCAGACCTATTGTAAAATATTTTCGAGTTAAATCCAAACGTGGATTCGATTCGGAAAATTCGACCTCGAGTTTGCATATAAATAAGCTACAAGTAATTGCTGAAGTAAAATAAATTTAAAATTGCGTCTGCTCTCTTCTGTTCTATTCGACCCATTTTTATTTCTTAAAATGTTATAATTCTATTGATGTGAAGTTTCAAATCTTATAGTTTTATCAATCTTTCATGTTTAACTTTCTGGAGTTGACGGTGAATCTATTAGACCTACTCTCTCTCTCGATTATAAATCTCTTTATAAACAATGTCAAATAATTCAATTTTTTTATGTTAATTACAAAAATTTGGATTATTATTATTATATACTTACAAAAAAAGGATACAGTTGACTCGTCACGGATTTAATCTCCTTCAACATGATGAATCTATATCGTGGATAAGTTATGTCGTGTCCGAGCGTTTTGAATGAATCTTGTAAATATTATAGTATTTTTTAATACATGTAAAAGGACACTGTATACTTATTATATCGAAAATTAGATCTGAGTGAAATGAATTAATTTTTGCATATAATATAGCTTGTACCTAATGTGAACAAAAAATATCGTATTTTTTATATAGTTCTTAATTATTGATTACAAAAATTCATAGACATTTGCATTTTTTATATTTCGCTGAAGATGGTCCGAAATGCGACCGAAACATTCGAGGTTTTAACAGTAAATTAAATATGATTTACATTTACATAAATTGAATTATGGGAAAAAATTTACTTTTTAATTTTTTGCACATGAAATATCGCGCCGTCCTCTCATTTGTCCAACTTTATAAGCCTTTGTTAAAAATATCAGAAGGTTCAATAATGGGTAATTTTTTAACTATAATGTATAAAACACGTGCTCACGCACAAAACATCTTTAGTACATCATGACTTTTAGTTAAAAAAACTATATATTATTGAGCCTTGTGTCTGTGACATCTTTTGTTCACTATCATTATAAGCTACATTATGTGAAAACTAATTTATTTCATCGAGATTCAATTTTCTATGTAATTAATTTGGAATTTTATGTATTAAAAAATACTATTTGCAAGGCCGATTCAACAAAATACTCGGCATGGCACAACTTATTTTTTATATAAATTTATCATGTTAAAGGAGATCAAAATCTGTGATGAATCTATTGTGTCCTATTCTTTTTCAAGTCATTTTGGTTCCTTGAAATTAATTAGTGCTTTTTAATTAAATAAATTAAATAAATCTTACATATCTAGCAATAGTAATGTTACAGATTTTGACGTCAGCTTCAGAGGATTAAGAGAAAATAAAATTTGTACGTACAATATGAAAGAAATAAGAATGTGCGGTTAAAATCATATTAAAAATATAAATATTTGTCTGAATTTAAACTTAATATGAGAAATGCTTAGGACGATAGAGAGTTAATGAAGAATTAAGATTTTATTATTCGTTTGTATGCCTTTAAAAAGAATTAACAAATCAATCGAATAATCACACGTAAGCAAGAAGAAGGGACGTTAAGACTAACTTCCTTACTCCAAATCTCCGAAGTCTCGTTTATCGTATTACCAAGTACCATTCGCAGGGTAGGAGCTTTACTGCAGCGAGGATAACCGTTTGGTGGCTGTTGCGGAGGATCTCACGCGCAAGGATATAGGCCGGCGAGACAAACTAAGAATATTACCTTCGGGAATATATACGGACTAACGATCTACCGATGCGTATTAATAGTCTCGACGGTGCTAACTGTCTCGCCACTTAAGCGCCGAAGTCTGGCGACCGAGTATTTATGCTGCCTCGTAATGGTTTCTCGACGGAAGTTCTCGAGACCCATCGAGTTCTCTCGAAAACCGGGGTATTTGATATTATGATGTGTAAATGGGTACTTCTACAGGCATTAAAATCATTTAAAAGTTTTCTGTTTTTGAGAGAGAGTGCAATTCCCCGTAGCAAAACCATAAAAATAAAAATAAAATAAAGATCCAAAATTAAGGGTTAAATCCATTTTTATCCAAAACCGATTTATTTATTTTATTGTTTTTTATTAAAAATCCTTTTAATATTGAATAATATAGGTAATGATATTTAAACATCAAGAAATGAAAAATATTCCACAAATACTTTAAAATATTTTTACTTTCTGTTTCTTTGTTTCTCTTTTTTGAATGTGTTTTCTTAGATATTAGATATTTCTATTTCACCAGATAATTGCGGCACGAAAACCGTTCTAACTTCCTGCCGCAGATTTTATTGTCTGTAAGTGAAATGGTAGTTTGCGTTCATCGTTCTCCCTCGCTCTGCTTATCCGTCCATTCGTCACTGTTCCTTCAACCCCCGAACACGGCGAAAGGGGAGGACCATTCACGGATTTTACGAGGGACTAGAGTCGAGTATCGGTGGGCAATTATCCGCGAAACAAACAGGTCCGCGAGGGAAAGTCTAACGACTGCCGGGGTCTTCCCGGCGATTACCTCAAAGCAAACCGCCTAACAAGACATTGTTCCGAATAGCTTAGCCATTCCTCTCCCCACCGCCTCCAACCGGGTGGCTCTTTTCCACCCTCTCACCCACTCTCGTTTCCACGTGGAAGAGACACCACATCCACTAAGACGACCGAAGCAGTTAACAACCCTGGTCTGGTGACGGTCGTTAGCAACCAACGTGGGTCACCTCCCGCACCATGTTTCGAACTTAAATCTATACGTAAAGCACATCTCGTCGAAGTCTCGTTTAACAATACGATGTATTTGAAAATACAATATAGACAGACAGAAAAAAAGACTATTCTTAAATTAACTATATGCTCATATAATTATATGCTCATATCTAAGCAAAAATGTTGTAATCTTGCAAAGATTTTAGTCTTGATTTGATTAATTGATGTTGATGCAAGTATTATTTTACATTTAATTCAAGACTTGCTAAAAAATCAATTTGAAATCTTACATAAATACAAATTCAATCAAATCAAGATTAAAATTTTTGAAGCAAGGTTACAATATTTTTATTTATAATATGAGCATATTATGGCTGATTTAAAAATAATCTTTTTTTTCTGTGTATATTCATTTCTCATCATTGCAACATGTAACAATTCGATATCAAGAATTCCCCCCCCCTAGAATTTTTTATATTTCTAAGAATTTCCAAAATTTCCAAAAATTTTCCATATTTTCACAAGAATTCGAAATTTCAAATCGAAATCAACAAAGCAAAACAAAAAATCAGGAAAATATAATTGATAAAAAGAGGTGTACTATCTAAAATTCCTATTTTCAAGAATCTCCTATTTCGAGAATTTCTAACATTTAAAAAAATTCATTTTTTATCGCATAAATTATCAAATATCAAGAAAACATAATTTACAAGGAGGTTGCACTGTTTAAAATTCCAAGAATTTTTCTAATTTTCAAGAATCTCCTATATTTTCAAGAACTTCTAATATCTCAAATAGTTTATTTTTAATCGCACAAATCGTCAAAATATAATAGCAAAAGAATATAATTGTCATGGAGGTAGCATTATCTTTCTAAATTTCCTAGAATTTCCTAAAATTTCTAAAATTCTCTTCAAAACATTCCTTTAGGTATATGCGTGTCATTTTGGGAATTATAATTTCCAAACAGTTTTTAAACAAAGAAAGATACGTCACTTCTTTAACATTTTCACATCCGTGATTTCGAGTCTTTTATAGCTTTTAATTTTCAGAAGATATTTTTTTCTGCTTTGGAAGAAATTATGCGTCTCTATTGGAGAATAAGAATGATGCCGGATGCTCTGGCGGGACATTAATACTGTTTACAAAAGCTCTCGTATTAGGCTCGATAGAATGGATACGCCGGAAGAGGGAGATTTTCGACAAGAAAAGGACTTCGTTCCTTGTCTATTCCTTTAAGAAGTTCCCGTCGCTATATTTACTCAAGTACATATATATATGTTAGCGCCATTATCGCCATCCGTGATAAGGTCCCCCGGGTGATAATATATTCTGGCAAGCATCTCGGGAAAAAAATACAGATTAAGGCTCCTAAGCACGGATTTAACGCTTATTTATACTCCGCTAAGTACCGGCATTACCGCGTATTACGATCCAAATGGTCGCTCGAACTTTTTCACTGTCACCTGCTTCGAGATTTTCGCCGCATTTTCCACTCCTTCCCACACCGCCACTTCCTCGAACGACGAATATTTTTTTTCCCCGCTCCTTTCTCTCCTCGCCTACTCGTTGCCGCTTTATCGCAAATGTATATCCGCACTTACTCAAGTTTAATGCGCCGCGTATTAGCGAGTTAAGATACAATCATCTTGATTTCCGTCGCACTGTACAAATTATCTATATCATTCATAAAGATATAATGAAGTGTTCCAACCAGAACGATGAAATCGATTCTAAATCGTGGAAGTAATCATCATCTACGCTACTACACGGAAAAAATAGTTTTGCTAAAGTATCTAAAAATAAATTTTTAACTAAATACAGATCTGAAAATAATTTTTGTTAAAACATCAAAATAATTACACTGATAGACAATAATTTTGTTAAGTGGATAATTTTGGCTGAATCTTATGTACTTTTATGCAAATTCTGAAAATAAGAATTATCGGAAAATAAGAATTTATCCTGCGGGCTTAAATCTTTTTAAACCGATGTGTTTCTTTTTAAAAATATATATTTTACTAACAATTCATTGTATGAGATTATTTTTTAATTTTTTGGAATGAAAAAGCATATAAAATTCAATAGCTATTCCTTATGAATTAGTTTATGTTTAAGCAGAAAAACAGACGAATTTTGAAATGCATGTTTCTCAAAAAGGTCTGCTCTCCTCTCATAAAGGCAAACCGATTTGAAATTAGCGTAAAAGATATTATAATATAAGAACACTATTAAATCAATTTAACCCGGGAATAATCGTCTAATTTTTTTTTACGTAAACGACATCTGAGATGTTTTTACACCCCAATTAAAATCACTATGATTAACATATTATTATGGCATTATTTCTAAAAAATAAAAATTTTAATTAATATAACGCTTTTTTATTGTGCATTTTTACTGGAATTGCATATTTAACAGTTCCTGAAGAATAGTTATTAAAAAAGAAAGAAAATACATAATATGTTAAACGATATTCTGATATTCATACAAAACAATATTTTGTATGAATATCATATATATGAATAAAATAACAATTCACATTTTCTCGCTGTTAAGGTACAAGAACCTTTCAAATGATTTTTCTCAAATTAATATGAGAAAAGTGAAATTTTGTCAACTAATGTTATGTAGGACATTCAAGCTGAATTACTAAAGTGTCAACATTTTTTTTTGCAGCATTGCTCATCATGCTTGAGTTTCCTACATAATTATTATAGATAGTCCAACAAAATTATTTTCATAGATTTGTATCTAGTTAAATTTTTAGGTATTTAAAGAAAATTATTCTTTCCGTATACGTAATTTTCAGAGATGTGGTTCTCTTCGGCTCTCGAGCTATAGCTATCTCACACGGGTGCACGTTTCGCTGTTTCTTGCAGTTCGTGCCCTTAACGATCTTGGAATACCTCGTTTCCTCTGTCTTCTACGAGGCGTACGTATCCCTCTGGTGTACCCAAGGGCTCTTAACGGACGATGGGCGATAAGAGCAAACGGCTTACGAGCCCGTCAGATTCGAAGCACCGCGATTCCCGCCACATCTATTCACTTCGAGTTCCTACCACTCGTAGATTTTCTGCTCGCGTTCGCGGCTCCGGCTACTTGGAAACATTTGATTTCGATCACCGCGATGCGGCTCGGCAATATAACGTCGTCCTTTACGTTGGACTTCGGTCTGGTTGGTCCGGTTGAAACTATGCGTACGGCACGAAAGCACGTGGCATCGAGTCTTACAATACTTTGTTACTGCGTCGTTAATTTTAACACCCGCTACGTGCCGACGTTTTTACCAAGTTTTTCGCATCTGGCCGGCAAGAGTTAGCCACGTGAAATACGCCTCGTCAGTTTGAGAAAATGATCGAATTTATGGTGGCGGCTTGGAAATTTCAGCTTTGGAACGATCGCGTTATAACAGACTGCTCTGTTTTAATAAATCCACGTAAGTGTTATCGAAATTATATACATTGAAGAAATATTAAATTTAACACGTTTTACATGTCTCAAACGGTCTACTCTTTTTGTATTAATTTAACGCAAGATGAATATACAATTAGAAAATAACACAAATATTATATAAAAAATTAATATAAAATTTAACACACAATTTGAAAACAATTTGTGGAAGTATTTCTTCAATAAAATTAACATTTATAATGTGATAAATTAATATTTTATTCATTTATCTTATTTATAAAAATGTACGTTTCAAAATATATTATTTTTATGTTATTTATTTATTTATGTTAACACTAAGAAATATATCAATTTAACACAAAATATTCAAATAACACAATTATGTTAAATTAACACTTGGATACATAAAAAATTAAAAACAAAAATTTTTAATCAGTTTTAACACAAATAAAAAACATTTTTTACTCTGTAAAATTAATTTTAATCCTATTTGAGATTCTCCAAGCAACGATTACGCAGATTGATTAAAATAATATGCAGGAATAATGTGTAGGAAACCATTTCTTTTACCATTACTTTTTATAATAACGATTTGACAATGACGTTATTTTTTATGATGATAACGATAACTAACTAAGAGCTAAGACTGGGATAGTCACTTTTGAGAAGTAACTTGTCACCATTACGTGTTTATTGAAAAAAGTAACTCATTATATAAATACTTGTAACGTGTCAACTTATTACTTTTACTCGTTATTTTAACAAAAGTAAGAAGTTATTTTTTTCAATAAACAACGCATGATGTTTTCACAAGATACCTTTAAAAAATGACGTTGTCTAAATCTTCGCTTTTAATTAGTTATCGTTACGTGATAAAAAATTGCAACGTTATTATCAAATCGTTATTATAAAAAGTAACAATAAAAATAACGATGTTACTTCCAATCACTGATAATATTGTTACCGCTAGAGTCTGTATTTATCAGTTGACAACGAGAGGCGAGACACCGGGGATATTTTATCGTGATCAAGGGGACGAGGCCTAAAATCGAATTGCCCGCACGTAATTATTCGGTCTCCTTACCGTAATCGCGGTAAGATTATCGCCTATCTTGCGGCTCGATTCGTCGTTGTTAAAGGGAACGCTTTCATGTCACCCAGGGGAGCATGTTGGGGACATTATGGCTGGTAGGCCACCGGAATTAGTAAGAGGCGAGACTATGGCGACTTGATTCGATCTATCATCGTGCTACGCAAACTATTTCTTAAATTTCGGAAACATTTCTGTAAATTACAATTAATATTATAGGAAGGTAAATATGTATATAACGCGAGAATCGTCATAGATCGTTTCGCATATAAAGATCATATAGATTAAATCGATATAGGCCTCTTGATGATAGTGGACGGATCAAATCGTTATCCTGGCCGCTGTCTGCCGTGTCAGGTCCGCAGAGTGAAGTAAAATGTACTCGAAGGGTTATGGTTGGCCATCCGCAGGGGTTATGGGCCGATCGCCGCCGATGGAATCAGCGTTCTGCCTCCCCCTCCCATCCCGCTGCTCATAATCAGTTTTAGATTAATTAAATTTTACGGCCGCTATAGTCGATAAACATTAAATTTAACGGGCCAGTCCTACCGAAGCCGTTACGGTTCGTTATATGATCTCATACGCACCAGGGGCGTTCACTCGAAATACCAATGTTTCCACGGATGCTTTGGTTGCATTTTTACTTTGTCAGTGATAACATAGTGAAAAAATCGGTCTCGAGATTTTGATGGGAATATGCATCTTTTTGTGTATTTCGAAATCGAATAAAATAACTTCTAAAATAACTTCCAAAGTTATTCTTTTCTTCAATTAAAACAATATATTCTATATTCTTTCTGAAGTGTAAAAATTTTATTCTTCAAGAACGATCGTCGTCAAATTATAATAATTAATAGTGCCTATTTACTAAGTAAACTAAATATTTCAATGACTGAATATGTCTAGTGATTGAAAAATCTACAATAAATATATTTGTAATTATTAAAAATACTTGTCAACAGTAGAAAAATATCAAATCAAAAAGAGGAAATTAAATATATAGTATTAAAATAAGTAATAAAAACATATAATTTTAATTGCAGTTTATTGCAAAAAAAATCATTTCAAATTTCATAGGCGCAGTTATATTTTCACTCATCTTTTTACCGACTCTTGAGTATATTGAGAGAAAAAATGTAGATATTAAATTTTAATAAATATATATTTGAATAATACTAAATTTACATTTACTTACGATAAATAAATATTTATTACATAAAAAAATGATAATCAAATAAAATGGATGACTCTTACTAAATAAATATATGTTTACATTTAATATATTCAAACAAATATTCAAACAAATTTTTATTAAAACTTAATACACTTTTTTCTCAATATAAGATACTTTAATTGCGTTTGTTTTTAGTACTTATACTCTGTAAGTTTCATTCTATCATTTTTCAAGACATTACTCATAAATAATGAGTAATAATAAAGACAAAATGAAGTGCGTGAACACCGAAATCGAACATAGCAATAGTGTCTACATTTTCGAATTTTTAAAAACATTGTATTATTAAAATATTGTATTTACCAAAATAGTGTTTTTTATAATTATAAGAAACTGAAAGTTAAATTAAAAAATGTATTTTATTAGAAGTTTACAATTACTGCAATACATATGATTAGAAGTTACAATTACTGCAATAGATATGATATAATATATCAATAAAATTTCACTTAAGTATTCTTTTTTAAATTTATATGGAAGTATTTTTCGATGACCGACAAAACACAAAGTTAAGGATATTAATTCCTTTTATAATGCCACTAATTAATAGATAATCAATAATAATATAAAACTTATTATGCCTTCCTATTTTAGTTCAGTCATTGGAACGTTTATCTTATTTTGTATATAAATATAATAAATTAAAAATTTATAAATTTAAATATTTATAAAGAACGTTAATGCATTCTTTTAGCGTGAAGAAATAAAAATATAGCATTTACCGTAATTATTTCACTTTACGTACAAATTTTATTGGCGCCACTGGGGCACCTGGTATACACATAACTGAGTCATAACTGAGTCGAATCATCCCGGATGGTTGGCGCGATACGCGAGTTTCAAGCGAATTGTTATCCCACAGCCGTGAAACGTGAATCACTCTCGTCGGCCAGAGAACGGCGGGTGTCGGCGCGGTGCGGCGTAGCTCGGCGGCGAGCAGCAGCAAGCCGGGAGGTAAATCTGGCGAAGGCGGTAATTAAATTAATTAGCTATCTCGAGGATGCAAGGATGTACTGTACCGACCGAGAAAGCAACCGCTCTGCCTCTCGCTCGTTTTCTCTTTAACGGTCTTAATTATCAGAGACTCTCCATCCCCTATCCGCGCACCGCTCCCTTTTCTCTTTTCTTCTATCTCTGTCTCTCCTTTACCCTCTCTTTCTCTCTTACTCCCCTAGCTCGCTCCCCCCGCCCATGTCTCCGTCCTTCTTCCGGCTATTTATTAGGTTTTTACTTATGGAGCCGGTCGCAGTGCAATCGTCCGATCTGGACCGGTGCGCGATCGAATTTTCTCATTATCGTCGACCTTCTCCAGTGGACGAAACTTTTGCCAGTCCATCCTACGGCCGGCGGCAAGCGGGACGGCCCGGTTTCCGTGAAAGAAGCAAAGCACTCTGGGTAATTAGAAGCGGAATTATATTCCGCCGCGTCCTGTTTCAGTTTATAAACAAGGACTCTTAAATGAAGTTCCCGGGAGCTGGCCACTTTAATCCTCGGCCGATGCGTTCCCGTGTTTCGATTTGAAACTCTGAGCTCGCTTGACGTCACTCGCTCGCTCGCTCGCACCGAATTTTACCGAGCTTTTAACCCTTTCTTACGGCCAACGGCATGCTAATAGAGACTCATTCTTCTCTTTAAAGGAATAGCTGGAAAAAAATAAGGCTGAAAACGAGGTACAAATTCGGGAAAACGCGAAAGAAAAAAGTTATGCTTATATATTTTTTTAATATAGAAAAATCATTTGCTAAATAGGCAATCATACTGTCGCATACTTTTCGTTGATCTAATTAGTGGCAAATCGCTAACAGCGCCGTTTAATCATTTAATCGAGCTAATGGTTCTTCCGTAGTGCTAGAAGAGCGCGCACTCCCGTTTCTCCCTCTATTAATTCCGGCATTGAGCTAACTCAGCTTCACCTCATCCGTCTATTTCGAATCATGCGGTTGCGATTGTAGTGCAAATCAGCTTTGATCTACGTTTCGCACTTAGAAATACAATTTATAATCTTGAAGATCTTCTTCGATTTTCGTGATAAAGATATATTAGCATTAGAAAATTAATTCGTTCTATAGCAAGCAATTGCATCGACTTAACTCGTTCAAACGTCTTGTTTAGCTGCTAAGTGTATGACTCACTGCACAATTATCATTAATTTGAGTTATTTTTAATTATTCCTGCAAATCGCCACTGCTTCAACTCGATATATCTTTAATTTAACTAAAATAATGATGTTAAATAGTTTAACTCAAGAAATTTATTAATTTGAGATTTAGTTTATTATTTATATTAAGTGCACTTAATAAATAATAAACTAAATCTCAATACATGTATATAATAATTATATAATTTATTAGATATTTATTAAGTGTAATCATATTAAGTGTATTAATATGAACGCTGTTTATTTTTTACCTAAACTATTCAACCTGCACAAAAATGGATTCATTAGGTATGATTTTTAATCAGATATGTTATAATTAAATTAATATATTCTTAAGTTAGAAATATAATAATAATAATAACACTGAGAAGTTAAAAATAATACACTTTTAAAAGTTATATATAAAAATAACAGAACTTAATTTAAGGAATTGATTTAAATTGGATCTTTTAATAACTAAGAGTTACCTATTATATTATTTTTAATTCTCCAATATGAAGAAAAAAAATGAAGAAGATCAGCTGAAAAGAATAAGTTTTATGTTCAGGTTTGAAAGAAATAACTTTCGAATACATTCTAGAAACGATAGCCTCGAAACGCACATATAGCTTACTTTTTTCTAATCTCTTTATAATCTTTTTATTTACTTCAGGAAAACATCACGAGGTCGTCTAAAATATTATTTTTTCCCTTCGCCCTGTATTTATCTCGACATTATATTACGTCGCACGCACAGGACGCCAAAGAAACCACCTAACGACGTACATTCATAATCGATCTCTCGCTCTTATGGGTACGTATATGCGTACGTACATACCTACGACACTCCCAAAGGTATCCTATACGGAGCGTTACCCTCGCCGCACGACTGCGAAATTAGCGCCAAGCCCCTGCGCGCACGGGAGCTTTCCTCCCCGAGAGCTCCAACTTCCTAAGCTCGACCCAAGTTTGGTCCCTCGGTCGACGCACCGCTCCTGCTCCTCTTCCCACCGCTCCGTTCCGCTCCGCTCTCCTTGCTCGCGCACAGAACAGAGGGATAGGAACACGCATTTTAGTTTTTAATGATTATTGCGCCCAGCTACGGCCCAGGTAGGCAGGCATTACCCACGGCGGTCTCCCTCACGCGCATTTGCATATCTTTCCACCCGTTAGGAATTGCCTGCTGGTTGCTTTCGTCCGCTCGCGAGCGGGTTGCGTCTACTGGCGCTTTCGCTTCAACTTTTAAGCCCTTTCTTCCCTCCCTTTCTGTTTCTCTTTCCTTCTCTTTATCTTCTTTATTCACGGGGTGTTCCATAAAATTTTGCGTTTTCCTTCAAATGCAGATTCTTTGATGAATTTTCGAATGGGACTTCTCTTGAAAATTTGATTAAAAATTCTATTCTTATAATTTTCAACATTAAACATTCTGATAACGCTCTTGAGTCTTAAAATTTTAATCAAATCTATTTAATATTAAATTCCTTTTATAGTTGCGATCGCATACGCATGTAAAGATTGAGATGATTGTGAAGTAAAATTTTAAGCAAATGAATCTCTCTCAAGAATAATAATTTACGTTAGTTACTTTGTACAGAGATTAATAATGAAGTAATGACTTATGGCAAAATACTTCATTCGTGCAGCGCATCTGTACCTTTTCTTTGTCGATGTGATTCTAAGAAAAGCTTCTTTGTTTAAAAAATTAAACTGAAAATGCGATGTTGTGATCGCAATTGATTTATAATTTTAAAAATTTGATGTTAGTTTGAAATTTCTATTATTTCTGCACCTCGAAATCTAATTCATCAGAATTAAAATTTGGAATATTGAATTAGCATCATGTTTTTTTCTTTCAGCACAAGGAATGAGACACCCTGTATAATCTCTATCCCTATCTCTTGTCTCTTACCGGTACTTCTCGTCCTGAAACGATGTTGGCGTCTCTCTTCGGAACATCGCGACGTCTCGCTCGTACTTTACGAGCGGCAGCCGCACCAGTAATTTCTCTCTCGCTAGTCTTCGACCACCCCTGCCGTCGCCACTTCCCCATGCCACTTTCTTCCTTTAATGGCACTTGGTTTTTGAGTGCATTAATTAACGTTTTGTGTCAGCCACCCCTTAATTAGACTGCTTTTGAAAAAATCAGTCAGTGAGTCAGTGCGTTCTCGAGATGGGAGAAGAGCTACTTCTTTCTACCGGAGGGTTGAGTTGCTACGTGATTTGACGTTTATTATCCAGGCGGAACGTAATGGCGCGCGCGTAAATGCTAATTTTGCATAATTAATAATTTACGCGACTATTGAATGGATACTCTTATCGCAGAAAGAAAGAGTGACCCTAAATGAATTTTGTAACCTATGTATTTTGTGGCCCTCGAATTTCGAATCGAATTGTACGTCAAATAATGCTATGATGGAATATTAATCTAAAAAAATTTAAGTTGAGCATGGAGGTAGTTTCGGATATATAGAAAATCAAAATGGTCAAATTACTAATATTTCTAATAGGTATGTGTAATATACGTATAAACTTCTTTAAAGCTAGTAATTTTAATTTTCCAAAAAGCTTTGTAAAATTTCTTTATCTTGGAGACGATAGATAATCTAAAATGACGTTAATATAATGACAGAGCAGTATATGATGAAAACAAAAATATTTTATTAGTTCACTTATTAGTCTTAAAAAGGGTTTAGGTATCATCATAGTGACATATCTAAACTAATAATTTATTAGGGCGCGCGCGCTTTATGGATAGTTTTTTTCTCACATAATGATTATTTTTGACATTAATCATATAATACAAAAAATTGTTTAATAGAAATCTGTAGAGAGCCTTATTGACCCAAAAACAAAACTGCCTTATTGATCTTCTTCTTTTGGAAGAATGACGTGACACGAATGACACAATTGTTCAATTTTCATTGCTGCAACGATTTGAAATGCGTTATTTCAGACAGATTTACGATGAAATTATTGCCGCGATATTTTCTATCTGCAACTGAAATTCCTGTTGATAAACTCAATGCGCTCGGAACAAGACGCCAATCGTAAAACCGTGGACGATTTGGCCAGCTTTGTCGTCAGATCAATCGCGTTATTTTCGCGAACGCTTAAATTTCCTCCCTCGATGGCACTCGCGCGCCATTAAATGCCGCGATCTTCATAGTTCGCGAATATTGCGCATTCCTTATCGCGCGGGTGGCGGGTTGGTAACTTTCTCGTATCGAGCCCGCAGAGTCGGTGGTTTACACGTTATTTAGCAGACACTCTCCCCAATGCAAATCGGCGTCGGCGAAACTATTGACCCCGTCATCACGGTACATGCGCGACTTTGGTCTTCCATTTCCGCAGTCATTTCCCTCCCTTCCCACGACGAATGCGTCGTGCTTCTCGTCGGAAGAGAAACGGCGCGCTTCTTAAAATTATGCCGGCGAACGCGCGCCTTTAGCTGCGCCGACGTTCAAGAGAAGGATGCAGGAGGACTCGGATGCACGGACAATAGTTCGCCATTGACGACGAATGCTCCCCGCACGGAGATCGTATCTGTATTTCATTAACATTATTCTTGACGCACTATATACCACCGCTCCATTCTGCGCACAATATCTACAAAGACAAGGATGACTGAACTTGAAGGAATAAACGCATAGGGATGCATATAACTCAGAAGGTTAGGTAAGTTAGCACAAAGAAAAAAATTGAATTAAAAGTATATTCATTAAAGTGTAAGATGGAGTAAAAATAAAAAAAAATACGAACATGAGATTTTTATTTGACACACGGAAAGAATGATTTTGTTGAAATATCAAAAAGTTTGGCTAAATTTGAAAATACTTCTCTTGGACTATCAAAACATTTATTAGAATGATCAATCTAGTTGCTAGAATGTCAAAACTTTACAATATTTTTCATCATGCTTTCCAATAAATCTCCTACATAATTATTTTGATAGTCCAAAGTAATTATTTTCAGATTTGTAGCTATCTAAATTTTTAGATATTTCAGAAAAATCTGTGTGTAAATACGTTTATACACAGAGAAAATGATGTTCGTTGTCAAATTTAGGATACAGAGCTCAAAATAATTTTGTCAGAACATTAAAATAATTGAGGAGATGGGTGGAATAAAGGCCTAATTACAAAATCTTGATTTTGATAAAAATTAAGATAACTTGTTATTTTTTTTTATTACACCACAAATGGGAACAGTATTAAATGTATATTTATATAATGTCTTTAAGAAGATATACGTTATAATATTTCTCTATTATGATCAATATTTAAAAAGTTATTTGCAATTTAAAAAATGCACTTAGTTCCTTTTTCCGAATATTGATGATAATATTGTAAGAATCGACAGAAAGAAAACACTATGAACTGCAAAAATGTTTCTTATTTTCACACTCTTCTAGAAGAAATACAAAATGAATATAAAATACATTTTACTTTTATTTGTACAAAATAAATTGAAATAATGTTCAAGCATCATCTGATGAGTTTTTGTAAGATTTTTAAACATAAATATGTTGTAATGAAGACACATTATTGTCGTACCATTTTTGTTCAGTCTCTGGTAAAAATCTCATGATGATTTTAAATCATTTATGCCCTTTTTCCATAGATTATATCATTTTCACCACCATAGGACAATCGAAACACGTTCATATTTAATTAATGTAAGCAACATCAGTTCCTTGTTTATTTCCGCCAATCTCCGGAAAAAGGGCTTAAGTAGAATTGTGCCAATATTTATTCCGCCAATCCCCTCAATTATGCAAGAAACCCAAACATGATGAACAATGCAGCAAAAAAATTGATATTCTTCCAATCTTGAGTTATCAATAAAAATATTTTGATGGTCCAACAAAATTATCAGATCCAGCAAAATTTTAAATCCTTTAGCAAAAAGAATTGAATTCTTTCATAGAAAGAATAGGATTCTTTCTATGTTACTTCAACGTACATTTTTAAGGAACTTCTTCAGTATCCCTGTGTAACTCTTAACGATAGTTCAGTATCGTTATGTTCTTGTTGCGCAGCTTTTTTTTATTATGTATGATATCTGAGCACCGACATTATAACGATACTAGCACTGTCGTTAAAAATTACAGAATCGAGTCACACGGTTTCTAAGAGAACTTTTTTATTAATTCGAGCATAAGACTTTATTCTATATCTCTTATTGCTTCATTTAGAAAATTTATATGCCGCAATTTATTCCAATCTGCTGAATTTAAGAGCATTGAATATTCACCGATAACTCTTCATTAGCCTTATGATTCTTCGACAAAATGTAATAAAATAAAATTAAAAACGAGACGTTATACTTTTAAAAATAAAGGGATACGAGAAAGTGGTGGGTAAAAAAAAGACAAAGAGTCGTATCTGCGGTAGAAATCCGCATATATGCGTGATAAAATGGCGCGAAAAGTGGAATAGGCAGCTCCGGTGGCACCGCAGGAGCGCGCTGCGAAACGGCCCGAGAATTCAATAGCGACAAACTCTCTCACGCGTGGATATTATTTGGCAGTAAAATTTTATTTCGTCGGCATTTATCGACGACATTTGGCAAAGCCGGCTCGCACGGCGAGCTCAACGTACGCGAATACGTCGTTATTTGATAACGACAAATTATTGTTACGAGAAAAAATGGACGCTGCCGCACACCCCTTAACTCACTACCCTAGGCGCCCTCTCTCCTGCTCCCCCTTTCCCTGAACCGGCTGAAACTCGTTGATCACGTGTTATACGCGAAGGGGGATCGTGTGTATATTTCACGAATTGGCAGATACCAAAATGATAACGCGTAAACAATTAACGGTTCTAAATTAAAGCTATAGAAAAATTAATCTTAATATTATAAGGGTCACTTTATGGCTAGTATTACAAATAAATCTTGTTATAAAAGTTTGAGAAAAATTATATTACATTTCTACAGTTTTAGGTTAAAAATAGAAATAAATATTAAATATTAGAGAAATAAAAAAGTTGCTAATAGGGATTAAACATAACGCATAATACATACAAATAAGATATGACTTTATATAATATATAAAGTATATAATGTGTTTTATGTCTTATTTGTATCCATTATACATTTAACTTATTTTTAATTTTTTTATTTATCTAATATTTCATATTTATTCATGCTTTAATATTTCTTTCATTGTGTACAGGGCCTATGTCTAGATCGATTAATTGTACGAAGATAAATAACGATAGGTCATTAATTTACTACGTCTAATAATATTTATTTTTGGAATATTAATATTTCATTTATTAATTTAGTAATTAATTTACTATAGTGATACTAACAAACACCTTATATAAATATTTATAAATCTACAAGAGTTTATTGCTTAAAAAATACTAATATTAAAAAAATAGAATATTAATATATACATATATATATATATATTATTCAAAATTTTTTATTTATTATATTTATTTAGAATTCTTCGTAAATATCGCAATGTAACGTTGTTCCTTAGTAAACTATCAGCGCTTTAAGAAATTTAATTAAATAAATACAATCGATGTAAAGCTCAAGAAATAACTTTTTGAGAGAGAAAGGATTTTTTAGGAGTGAAAGAGAAGAGGGGATGGTGCTGGCTTTGGGTCTGATCCATGGCGGACTATCGAGCTACTGTCCGAATGCTAATCTCTCGATATATTAGCGGATTTATATTTTCATCGGCAGCCTTGCCTACCCGTCGAAATATTTAGAAGCGCGCGACGGACGTTTCGTCCCTTCCACCCCTCGCCTTGTCACAGTTCTCTGTCGGATTATTATTTTTTTCATCGGTATTCAACAATTTTTGCAATTTCAAAAATTAATAGACACTCGAGAAAGTTACCGTCAATGTTGTGTGAAAGAATTCTAAATAATCTCTCGGTCATTTTTGACGTTTTAGCGTCGCCTATCTTACTGATATATTAACACTTTGTTATACTAATTACGTCCCATAATTTTTCCATGCAATTAACTGCATTTGAATCCGGTAATCAGTAACGTGCGTTCCATTGGCGGCACTCGGCGTCGAGCTTTAATAAGCGGCGCCCGTCGCCTCGTTATGCTTTATTAACCATTTACGTTATCAGCCGGCCGACATTATATCACATTTTATCAGCTGCAAATATCGGTAATCGCTACGTTCCAGCTAAATTATCGCCTGCGTGTTTCGATCAGCGATTCAATTCGGCGAGCCCCGAATTTGGCATGATGAGCACGAAACTGGGCATAACGTGACTTTTACATCCACGCTCGTTAAGTCGTCTCGCATTGAGAGACGTGTTGCGAAAGGATCGGTGAAAATACCAAGCGTGGTGTGTGGCGGTTAACGTGCTCCACGAAAGTGGAGAACGGGAAACGAGGAGGACGGGGATTGTAGGTCTCGTGTAGATACGCGGATATATCCTGGCTGTGCCGATGGTGCTCGCTGCACCTGATCCTGGTCGGCGAAATTGATGATATAATCCTCCATAACTCAGGATTACCGAGGAGGCTCCGGGCGTACAGCCTCGCGTGGAGAAAGCGAGAGAAAGAGCGCAGTTCGCGACTTGCACACACCGGCCGGCCTGCAAACGGCGGATGCAAGATTGACCCGTACTACTTGCTGCACGGAAGAATTGCTTTGAGAAGCGCTACGCGTATGAACTGTCGAAAGACTAAAATTAAATTCCTAAAATATAGACAAGTATGGGTATTTATAAGATCATTACATTCATATACCTGCCTAAATGACGAGGTAAAGTCATAGAACCAAAAAAAAAATAATTTTTTTCATCAATTTTTTAACGCTTTTTTTTTATACCTTCGTGAGGCGTATGTAGACTTTTGTTACTAATGGCTATTTCACAGACCTTCCCGAAATTCTCGTTAACGAATGCGAAATTGACGATCCGCCAATTTTTAATGGTTCGTTAAAAGTAGAAGTGATTTAACAATCGTTAGCGCTAACGGACGTCGCTGAATAAAAAAATTGCATTTACAGGTTTCATTCAACGCCGGTGATTCCATCGATCTCCCTCGAGACAGTTAATGTCCGTTAAACCTTCGATTAGCGTAGCTGTTCAATAAACAAATTTAATGTCTGGGAAAAAACTCTGAAGCCTCCGAAAATTTTGTAAGCTGTTTCTTAATATACAAAAAGGAAAAGAATTGTAATTACGCAAGAATTAGATATGATCACGAAATATCTCCTTGATGGCGTTACAATTGTTATCTCACGGTACCCAGGGTATTGTACATCGTATTTTCACAGACGATTATATTTCTGAGAATATCTCAGTATATAAACTCAAATGATTTGTTGTAAATAAACCAACTAAGAATAAAGAATTACTTATGTTAAATGATTTAAATCTGTCACCATGTTCTAGTATCTAACAAAAATTATTATATTTCTAAAGATTAATTCGTTCTTTTTTTTATTTACATAATGAATAAGAATATAATTAAAAAATGGTTGAAATAAGTTAATTTTTGCTACAACTTAACTCAGTTTTTACAAATGATCGCCATTGAACCTACAACGCTATAATGCAGATCAATCACGCAAAAAATATTTTGCTGCTCCAGCTAGAATATTATAGCTGTTTTTTGTATCTGATAGAAAATTATGTATCATACGCATAGAATTTATAGCACAAATCTAAATTCTATCTCTGTCATCTATATGATTAGATACAATACATATCCAATGTCGCAGTACCTGCTAGAAATTTATCTATTCCTGCTATTTTTCGTACTTAGATAATTTTCATTGTAACTGCAAGATCACTTTTTTCAATGATTCTTTCTTAAAAAAGGATAAAGGAGTTCATGGCTGACATTTATTTCAAAATTGCGAGATCTCATTAATTCCTCGCGTCTCGATTCTTTAGAGAGAAATAA